TGACGAAATTGGAGTTGTTAAGTGAGCCACATCCGAATCCATATGCGATCCTGCATGGATACAACATGATGATTCTTTTCGTGTCACCCGATGCGTGTTGGTAACCTTTTCTATCGGATCCTCTTATAAGGAAATGACATGGTGTAATGTCGTGCCTATGGATTCTTGGCACGTTTTATTAGGACGACCTTGAAAATTTGATCGCTCAGTGGTAAATGATGGATGTCTCAACACATTTAGTTTTTTTATTTGAGGGCTTTCGCATAGTCTTGCATCCCTCGTTATCCAGTTCTGGTCCTTTGCCATCATCATCTCCGGTTTTATTCGTTTCTCGTGCCGAGCAGTGTAGGTGGATCTTTCATCCTTCGGATTTTCTTATTTGTAATGTACTTTGTAATGTGTTTCGGTTTAATGAGAAAATCTATCGATTGGAAAAAAAATTAATAACCATAGGAAAGGTTGTGAATAGCAGTTATCAGAAGTTTGAATAAAAGTTATCTGTGTTCTTCTTTCTTTTTGAACATTTATACGTTCATTCTTTCTGTGCATGCTTCTTGTTGCATCATGGGGCGAGTGTCTTGAGTCCACTAGTTGCTGAGGAGAATAAAATGTATGACCCGTTAGGTAGGAATGAGATAGAAAGAAATGACATGTGAAGATTTTCTTCTCGTGAGTATACCAAGTTATCAACCCGTAAAAGTGGCCCGATCAGGATTGTGAGGCAGATGAAGACGAGATTGCGTGGGATTCGCGGGAGAAAAATAGACCCAGTCTAGAAAAATATTTACTCCAATACAAACGCAATTAGACTGGGTCCTGCTGATGTGGCAGCAAAAAAATGAGACCCGGTCTACCTTTGAGTTTATTTTAGACCCAAATAGAGACATAGTCTCTTTGCATTGAAGTTAATTTCATTACTTTTCAATATTTTGTCTATGTTATTCAAGACTTAAATATATTTACATGCTATGTAAGAAAAACTTGATCCAAAGCATTATACATGCTCTTATAATGAAATGGAGAAATGATTGAGCCCGTGGGCGTGGACTGGGATGCCGTCCAAGCGGCCCACTTCGTT